TTTCACATGAGAAATATGTTTGTAAATTACTCTTCACTTTAATTTTTATGAAATGTTTAAAAATGTTGTCACGTTTACTTTATTTAAGATACAGTTCAAGTTAATGAACAGTTTTAAACAAAACTTTTATAATTACAACAATCTTAGAACCTGTAAAAATAACACTTGCTTAATTCCATAAACTATTTGAGAAGCCCACCGTTAATTTGTTAGCAATTTTAAGAAGATAAAAAGATAAAATTGTTCAAAGTGCCATTTATTCAATCTAACTTAAAAATTATTAAAACAAAATCGATAGACCAAACATATTTAAATAATACTGTAAATTTTAAAACTTTTTAATTTTTCACATCATTTAGAATATTTAAGTATACGTTTAAAATGTTAAGTGCATTTTAAGTCTTTTAATTTTTTTTCGAACACACTTTAAAAATGTTATATACCAGTAATCTTACTATACAATTATAGAATAATAAAAATTCTCAAATAAGTGTGTCAGTAGTATTCTAAAAAAATTTAGTGTTTAAGCGTAAATCACAATATGTATAATTTGTTTGAAAAAAGTAATTTATAATATATAATACCTTAGGGTACATTAAAAACGTAAATTTGATTTTTGATTGATGATTTGAAAAATTTATGTTTGTTCATATATTTAAATACATAATTTTAGCAGATAGAAATGAAATATTATTTCGCATTCAAATTCAATATCTAGTTTCTCAGAGMTTACAATTATATAAAAGTCTATGACTGATGAGCATAGGTACTATTAAAATAATGTATGGTCATTTAATATGTAAGTACTAAGGTCTTAAAGGTTTATTGATTATATTATGGTTTTATTTTAAGTTGTTTGCAAGGGTCATAAAATAAAAAATTAAATATAATGAGGAAAACTTGATTTTAATTTAATGAAAATATATTTATTTACATCCAATAACTAATAAAAAAATTATTTTTTATTTTTTATTGTAAAGCATAATTATAATTAATTTGTTTGTTCAACATAATGTTTTCAGATACCATTTTAACATTATCATAGTTTTGGGTTAGATGACTATATGTTTTTTTTTAGTCAAAGAAAGACTATAATATTACGTCGTGGTTTGAAATAAATTTAAACAAATAAATATAGAATACAAATAGGATCTATATTAACATGTCCTAAAAACCGAAAATTCATTACAATCAAATACCATATCAGATATCTTATATCGGTAAGTCAGATAAATTTAAGCAATGTAATAAATCATCTGATATTTTATTTTACTAAATTTTGAAATACTAAGTATATGTCTTTAAGATTGATCACCTAGCCGAAGTTTGTTTCGTATGTCCACTGTGGATTCTGATTCAGTTAGTGCTTTTGTTAATTAGTTTGTGCCCTTGTAATTTGTACTTTATACTTTATAGTAATGTGAACCGTATCAACACTGTACTACATAGTATTTCAAAAGTCATAAATTATTTATTTGACTCCAACAGTGATCGGTGATCGTAATTATCATTAAGTATTATGGATGTTATTCTGTGTCAGACCAACGACGTTGGTAACAATTTTTATCATAATATAGTAAGTTATTATACCCTTAGATATGTTATAACTTTTATTTTTAATTGTTTTCAAGTAATAATAGATTGTAAATTAAATATATAGTACAAGCCATTTTTAAATGTATTAAAAAAATAAATATTAATTTCGATAATCTCAATTTTGTAATGATTATAGTGTAAGTAGGTTCAATGTAAATTCGTATTAGTATAGAATTACCTAATTGATTTTACTTTTATAATTGGCAATTTTTGTAGATTATGATTAATATTTATTTTTCTTAAATATATTACAATGGTATTCAATTTTAAGAAGAAAATTTAGTTAAAAACTATAAATGTCTTGTCAAATTATATTATATTTCTTTACCTRCATGTGTATGTCAATATTCARAAACTGAATTTTATAGTACAATGACATTTTTTGAATTTGATTATACTTTCAACACTTCCATATAAAAACGTTAAGAAAATATTTCTAGAATATTTAAAATCAACACTCGACTAGTATAAACGATCTCGTTAAAATGAAAGGTATTTATTTTTTTCGTGTTAGATAATATCCATTTAAGTCTATTAAGAGAACGACAGTGAATTTCATATATTTAATATTATACTAGTCGTATTATATTACTATACTTTATAGATCTTCTCAACTTAATGTATAATACTAAGCATTGTACTGTTGTAATATTGTTATTATGTCAAGATAAATAAAGGATTTTCTTTATAGTTTTTATTGTATTCAAAGTGTTTCTTTGTTGTTCATACTTAACATTTGAAATGATAAAATATATTATGACATTTTTATAATTAGTTTAATTATTTTAGTTGATGTTTTGTTTAAAATTAAGGTTTTTTTTTATGAATTACACTTCTACGAATTTATTATATTTATTTAAGTTACAACGTAAGGGACATTGTTTTCAGGTCWTGTAAAATGTAATTCATTTAATTTTTTATTAATAATTAAAAGTTAAATAACATTTTAAAATAATGTATTTGAATGTAAATTGGTTATTTTTTTATTTATACATTTAAAGTATAATCTTTACATTTGAATTAGATTTTGTGAAATTTATATAATTTCTTTTATAATATACAAAACGAAATTATTTCATTATCATTTTTTGCTAAATATTGTATTTTGCGATAACTTTCTGACATACGAGTACAGTATAATATTTATTTATTTATCATTATCTCTAACCAGTGTACGAAATTTGACTTTTAAAACTGTTACAACTACACATGTACATCTATATTTTATCTTCATCACAAACAAAACTTACAGAAGATGGATAAATTATATAAATAAGAACGTATAGGCCCATAGGAATTGCTATTTTTGTTCAGTCTTGTGTGGAATGAAGACTTACGGACGAATATTGAATCAACTCTGTTAAGTTTTAGTAAACTGTACTAAGTAAGCAAGAACGTACATTGTTTCTATGTGTGTTTTAGACATTTTTTAATGCTAAAAATTTGCTTGAACGATAAACTATTTGGTGCTCGGTCATAGTCATCACTAACTTAGTTGTTTAGTTTACCTACACTATAATAAACATATAAAATGTGGTTTTTAATATTTTATTTTATTTATAATTATTATACAAGTGCTTAAGTGATAAAATGTGTATTCAAAAATAACAGTATATTATGGAAGACAATAATGCAAATATTTTATTAATAGTAAATTTAAATATTATTGTAACCCTTGTATTTATACTTAAGAAAATAAAGATAATTTATTTTATCAAGCTTTCTTATGATTTTTATCTTAGCATAACACAAAATCACGTGTTGCATTTATTTTTGGTATTCTAATAAATAAATACTTTACAAACTTTTTACTACTGTTCTAATGATAACGACATTTGAATGATTTTTTATTACGGTCAACAGCTCTTTTGTGTATAGTTTTTGATATCTCGTTTGAAAATAGTATGTATTAAACCGATACGTCACTCGGGAGATGATGGATATTAATCTGTTTTGTGAGAAGAATCCCTTGGTTGTATTATTGACAAACATGTACATATAAACGTCAACTACAGTTGGTGTACGTCTTGACAACAATATTATTTGTAAAGAGATATAAGGACATTTTAATATTAGATTTTGAGTAGGTAATACCTCCATGTAATCAAAATATTGTTGGAGTAGTATAAATTTTCAATTCTTCAAATATAAGCCAGATGTATACTATCTTTGTAAACGTTATTGTTCAAAATGTATTGAATTTGACGTAGGTATTTGATGCGTTCATGTTTATTTATTATCAGATTATTCGACTCAGTTAACATAAATCCGATATTTTAATACGTAAAATAAATATACTGACGTATATTAAAAATAGGTGTCGATAAAGTTATTATATGAAACCAATCATTTTTATCGTAAAATAAGTTTATTTAACGTGCAAAATATTATTAAGTGTTAACGTTAAAGACGTAATAGTTTGGGCAACCTAATATTAGTAGCAAATGACTATTTTCCACAACAACATTGAGAATAATAAATGCACAATAATTAATATACTTACAGCGCCATTATACATAATGTCTACAATGATAAATTTGTTAAAAGACGATTGATTTACGACTTTGACCAAGAAATGAAGTTAGAATTTACATATCTTTAGTCATGATAATAATTTTGCTTTAAAACAGTTAAATAAATACCCAACTTAAAAGACGAATTCAAAATAGGTTTATTTTTTGTTTGAGTAAATGTTTTATTTATTAAATATGGAGTTGAAATTAGCAAGGTATTATTTCGGAAGTGGAAACTTTGCATTTAAAATGTCCATAATATTTCAATTTATTTTATTTTATGTGTCTAATACAAGAAATTTACCTATTTTTGAAATATTTTTTTTTTTTTATTTCAAAAAATTTAGAAAAATATACAGTATAAACATTAGACAATAAACATACATGTTTAGTATAATAAATACAACGGATATTATATAATAGCTAGGGATTTTTGGTGAGGTGAATGAACCATTCAGTATACAGCACTTAGGCGTCAGTTTAATGAAGGTTACATTTCATGATATATGTTTAGTTAATTAAGTAATAACGTATTAGGGCCAATGCTACATAGAGCGTTCTGAAAAGATTTTCAGGAATAGGGATGAACTTTGATCGTATGGTGGTTGGTTTAAATTTTAGACTGGCTTCTGAATTTCAGACGATGAAAGATGAATAACAGAGCAATTCTGTTTTAGCAGAAGATTTTAAATGAGAATTTCGGTTTCGAGGTTGATTTTTATTTTTTTTTCGTTTGAGTTTTAGTAAAGATAAAGTCCTATATTTAATCTTAAATAAATACTTAATAATATAAAATTCTGGTCCATTAATTTATGTCCTATAGAACTTTTTTTCTGAATAACATATTTTATTCAAAACAAAATATATAGGTACAATCTTTAATAAAATTACCTCATCTGGTAGTTGTGAGTTCTACTGACGTCGTCATATTTATGGTATGTGGCTTGGAACAGTAAATAGCTTTCTTCCCATTCGACTTGTACTCTCAATTGTCCTTTGTCTGTCAAAAAAGGACAACCCGAATCACGGAGCTAGAAAAAAAAATAATACAACATATGGTCAAGATATTACTTTAGTACTYGTGAAAAGCCCATAATAGTGGGTTTAAAAAGTAGCGTGGATAGTGAATACAATGCGTTGAACTCTTTTATACAAGACGTAAGTTTTTTTTAAAGTTTTAAATGTTTTAATACAAAATTGATAATATTATGCAGTGAACATCATCGTTTATTTCATTTTTACATAATATATACTTGACATAAGTTTTCAAGATATAGTTATAAGTGTTTGGCATTATTCATCACATATTATGATAAAGCACAGGTGTGCAGCTAAGTTTTTTTTTATTAACCTATTAGTTTTTGGTATTACGTCAAAGCCACAAGACAAAATTATCGTACGTCAAAACAGCTTGGTACATAATAGTTAAAACATAAAATAGCGAGAGTTAATAATGGCTAAAATATCTTATTAGAGGTGCAATATACTAGTTAAAAATTTCAACGATTTAATATTTATTATTTTATTAATTGGTAAATGTTTTTGAGAAGAGTTAGCTAACAAAAAACGATACAATGATTAATATATTAAAGAATACGTTGATATAACTGAATTGCGAAGATTGTTATTTAAAAATTATTATTTTCCTATTTTATGTTTTTTGCTTGCACACTATAAAACTAGGCCGAATTAAAATTTCGTTGCAAGCTCGCGCGTACATTTGTTTTAAGACGATATTTAGCGGAATTATCACCATTTTTTACCAAATTTTTTCTTAATTTTTTTTTTTTTTTGTTGCTTCACACTGAAAAGTGTACACATTATTTAAAATAGTATATTCAAGTTTCATTACTTTGTTTTTTAAATGTAATCAAAAAATATTTAATACTTAATCACTCAAAAAAAAACCACTTGTATTATATTGTAGTAGGCATACTTATTTGACCTGAATTAATTTMTCGTTCAAATCAATATATGTTTTATCCTTGGAATTTTTAACTACCTACCTAGTGTATTGTGTATAATATTTAATTTTAACCATTTTTAACATTCATTACTATGTGTTTCAGCTATTGTATACCAAACTGGATTATCKTCGTTGTTTTGACATTTTTGGTATTTTGGTTTCGTAATGTTTGTGACTCTTATTTTTTTATCGCATAACATGTATGCAGTACTTTGGTATTCTTCGCACTACTATTTTTCGTCCACTTCTGTATACTCTGTGTATCAATTCGAAATTATATAAGTTCATCATTCAATAATTTCTGGATATGGTTAATGATTAACACTGTCTACAATAAAAAGACATAATATTTACTATAACGTGTTWATACAATTCTCGTGACACAAAAAATAAATTAAGGGTTAGTGTGCTTGAATAACTTGTAATATTGTAAGGGTTTGAAAAATATTTGATTAAAATACAACAAATACAATGCTAAGTAACAAAATAAAAAGGCGTTATTGAGTTATTATTAAAATAATTTATAATACCTATTCAAAATTGCGTTGTTAAGTTTAATCGATAATGTTGACAGCACAATATTATTATTGTACCACGTTCTTGTTAAAATATCATGAAAATTAAGACTCGTGTGGTAAATTTATCTTCAGGCATAAAGCATTTTTTCATATTGATATACGTATTTTCCATGCAGAAAAAAACAATAAATCAAATAATGGAAGGTTAAATATAATATTGACACAGGTTTGTATATGGTGTTAGGTTATTGACAACCGTTATATTTTCGACAGACATTGAAATAGGGTTCGCATGTCAAAAATTGGTTGGCACTGATCCTCGTTGATACTTTGACTACATAATACGACCGTCCAAAAGGTGCAAGTTTATCCCGATCATGTTTTGTAGTGTTTTCTCTTATTCAGTGTACTGTGATATTGCCTTTTAATTCGAGAGTTCACGTTATTTTGAATTGTTATACAAACATCATTATAATACAGTAACTATAAAACTGCTTTGTCATCAAACTCACCCAGGTGTATCGAGCTTCATAAAGTATAAATATATTTTTTTTTGGCAACAAAGAAACGGCGAAATAGGTAAACAAATAATTTTTGGGGGAAAATACTATTTATAGAATACAAAAACGATCTAATACATATTTTAGCCTTTAGGTATATAAATATTATGGTTTTGAATTTTAACAAGAAAAAACATATAAATATGCACATAAAATAGATTGACGTGTTGATAGTGCATATTAAATCAACAACATACTTAAATTATTATTAAATAATAATAATATAATATTGTTAACTATTGAATTGACGTGTTCAAAGGATTTTTCACCATCACAACTATTAAATTATTCATAAGGTAGGTAATCAATAGAACATAGATTGAGAATTATTTGGTTAATGTAAATAAAATAATTAAAGCAGGTATTAAGTTTTTGTATATTAGGTACCTACTAAATGTGTGTATTTTAAATTGAACATATATTTTGCTTCATGTTTTGATCGAACTCAACAAGTGCAAATATTTGTTTCTATATATCATATATTATAAATGATATAGCCTATCTTTTTTTTAAAAACAATAATCACTTTATTCGATTCAGTATATTATAACTTGTTGGTTTATGCCATCAGTATAGTACAATGAAATACTTTGATGATATTACAACAGATACTGTCTATCCTGATACCAATTAATATCTCTATATATATMATTATAGGTCAAAGAAAGTTTTTGGGTAATATCAATGTTGTTATTAAGTTTGTTACTTAATTCAGTAAAATATTATTTAATTTATGTWAAGCCTTAAGTGGTGACTTGTCGTAGTTTGGCATAATATAATAGTTATTTCTGAAGTAAAAACAATACGCATATTATAAGTATCATGTGACGTACGTAAAAAATAAACTGCAATGCACAGTAGCAAAAATGAGACAAACATTTTTTATTTGACCTTAGTTTTAAATATCAAAATAAATTAAAATATAAATTAATAACAATTTTTTTTATTCATATCAGCATTTCAATTGGATAAACTCTTAAAAATTGAAATACATTTCATTAGTAAGTTAGTTTTTAATTCATTAGTAATGACTAATTATTCAGTTCAGGACCGTTTATAAATTATTTAAGTCCCATGATTTATTTTGTGCAGCTTTTTCAACTAACTAGAATGTCACCAGTAGCTCACCAGCGCTATTTGGCCTGAAGTGGTCGACTGACGCAGCGGAAAACTCCCGTTTTTCCATTCAGTGTTTCTTCACCCACAAAATGTCAACGCTGTGCCAGATACTTAACATATTTTCTTTCTTTAGAATGTAATTCACTCCACGAAAACTCTACAGGTCAGACTGTTAAGTCAATAAACTTAACTTTTATACACATTAAATATGAAAATTATATTAAATAAATGGTGATTTTGAGATTTTCAAATAACGAAGAATCAATAATYAGCTATACACTTGTTTACATAAATCATTATAACATTTTAATCGATGCAAATAAGAATAGAATATTTTTTATTGTCTAATCTCTAATATAACATATTATTTAGGATTACCGGTAATTATTACCTGCATCGTATGCTATTATGACGTGTATTATTTATTCTTTAATCAAGTAATACAATTATTTTTTGGTACCCGTCGAAAACTTTGGTTTATATCATCACTGTAAATAGCAATATTTAAAATTTAATGTTTATTATCAACGTGAGCATCTAACATTTTTATTTTATTATTAAATTGTATTTATAAAATAAAATCAATAACAAACATGGATAACTACTTATCAAGTGATCGATGTTTGTGGCTTATGACTTTTACTGGTTGTTCATTAAAAAGTTTAAATATCAACCATTGCAATTTAATATAATAAATAATATCATTAAGTTATTTTCATAGTTAATATGAAATATTAGCATTTCTTTATATCTTATTAAGAATCCATATATGAAATACACAAATATTTGAATTTTATGTACTAGTTTTAAAATACAATGCACTTATATGGCACATAGTTTCTGAAATAATTGGTTATAGCTATATTAAATATAAAGCAAAATAATTTTCATAATTTATTATTATATTCTAATAAATTATGACGATCAATTTATATTTATTAAATTATTGAAAGTTATTCCCAATTACCTATATGTTTAAAACAAATTATATTTGGCGTGCTAATTACCATATAAGTCTATTTTTTTTTTTACATTTTTAAATATAATATTTATTTGCACTATTTAAATATTATATTCAATGTCCAAACATTTTCATTTCTCTAAACGCACAATTTTTTACATTAGAAAATGGGTTTATTCAGACTATATACAAATGTTATCTCATATATTCCTAGAATGCCCCACTTACCATAACGCCAGATCAAAAGCAAACATAAACACCTCCTCACTCAAAGACGCACTCGGACCAGGACAAGAATGTTATCGCTCTACGTTCAATGTACAATATATTATAYACAGTAGTTATGAAAATCTAATTTGTAAATAAATTCGTATATAGATAGAAGCTACACAGAGTCCAATGTTTCTTTAGAAAAAGGTCTATAATTTATATCATTAAAAATCAAAAACCTTATAATAAAATAAAATGAACTAAAACTTCTAGTAATTAATTAATATACATTTTTGTTTATTGTTAAATAAAATCAATAACTATATAGTAATAATAATTAGTATAAATGGTTTTTATATAAAAATAAAAATTAAATAAATAATTAATATTTAGTATCGAGAAGATAAATAAATGTAAACATCTATTATTGACAGTGGTTGTTAAAAAATCACGTTATTTTTTCAGAAACCCTAACAAGTAACAACAGCGTTCAACTCATATACAGTAAATTTCCAATAATTTTACTCACTAAATTTGTTATCAATTTAGTATATTTCTATTAACTAGCCATTTGTATATTATAAACGTGAAATTTAACTAAATTAGAACATTRGATTCGGAGTGGAGCGATTGAAAACACTATCAAGAATCTTGAAAATGTGATACAATTATAAGGTTCCTTGTAACACATCGATAA